AATTCCAGAAATCGTTCTTGATTTATTACAAGTGTTGGAAACAGTCGTGCTGTTTATTTATTTCGTTTTTGAACCCGTTATACTTTTTTTCAGGATTCTGAAGATTTTTCAGGATTAAGAGTAAATTTCAAAAGAAAACAAACCTCTTTAATGCTAACAGGCTCTGCAAAAATGTGTGCTTGGTCTTTCTCCTGTAACTGATCCAGCACAGTCCTCAGAAGGACAGTGAAAGGAGTGAGTTGGACCTCCATTAATGTCTGCTGAAGCATAATCTGCAACAACCACAAGAGTCATCAAGAACACAAATATGCAAACAATTAACATTAGCAAATGTTGCTGTTACAAAAACTTGTCTTGATTTAAAGCAGCATATTGTTCTCATACCTCTTCTTTCTTGAGTTTCTCTCTCTTCCTTATCAGCTCTAGCAGGAGTCTTGCTCGCTCAAGGTCATGTCTCATCCGTTGCCACTCCTTCAGCTGCTCCTTCAATGCTTCAGTTTCCTCTTCTGTCTGTTTCTGTCATTACAATGTTTTCAAATTCAAGCAAACTATGCTATTAAAATGTGAAAGCATGCATGGCCATGTGTCAGTGCTGCTTGAAGAAATATTTCACCTAAAAATTAATATTTGCTGAAAATTTACTCCACCTCAAACCATCCAAGATATACAGGTGAAGTATTCTAATTTGTTGGTGGGTTTTTGTTAAATGTGAGCCAAAATCATCACAATTAAAAGAACCAAAGACTTAAACTACTTCAGTCTATGTGCACTGAATTTATTTAATACACGAGTTTCACAATTTGAGTTGAATTACTGAAATAAATGAACTTTTCCACGACATTCTAATTTATTGAGATGCACCTGTAGATGACTTGGTTTCTTTATTGCTTGCTCACTTGCTCAACAGTGGATCCTCTGTAGTGCATGGGTGCCATCAGAATGAGAGCCCAAGTGATGTAACACTACATTTTTCCAAATTTGTTTAGATGAAGAAGCAAACTCATCTGTCTACTTGGCCTGAGGGTTGAGTACATTTTTTGCAAATTTTCATTTTTGTGTGAATTATTCCTACAACGCTGCATAAGGATATACAGTCAAACCAAAAATTATTCAGACACCAGATATAATTTTAGATATTGTTTTACTAGTGGGTACAGGGCACTATAGTTCATTTATGTAAGTGAGAATAGCAAAATAAAGTGAACTCTGACATATTATACCCAAAAATTCTTTATAAAGTGGACTACCAGTAAAACTGATAAAAAATTTGGGACCAAAAATTATTCAGACACTTTGACCTGACCATGTTTTGCTTAAGTGTTTTTTCTTTAATTGCTAATGCGACCTTCTTACACCACAGACTGAACAAAAGTAAGCATTGCTTGGTAATTGGTTGACCTAAATTGGTATTATCTAATTGTGTACTTAAATTTAACAGCTGAATAATTTTTGGTTGATTGTAATCCATTACATACCTAACCTTTCTATGTAATGGATTACAATCCGACATTATCAAGAAGAATTTGTTTATCAAGTTGCCTGACATTATCAAGATTTGTTTTGACAGTTTAACTGAGTTCTTGACATATTTTTTTTTACCATTTTCTAAACTATAGTGAATAAACTGTGATAATGTGAGAAATGTTGAAGGTGTCTGAATAAATTTTGGTTTGACTGTACTTACCGGCTGTGTGTTTTTCTGGGAATGTAGGCTAGTTTGGAGGCGTCTGTTGAGTGGCACTCCATTCCTTGAAAGTCTTTTAAGTATCCAATAATTCAATACAAGTGTGCCAAATGCCTTCTTCTTCCGTAAAGAAACTTGATTGAGGATTGTGTTTAACCTGTAGGAGAATATGACAGTATACAATGAAATGAAAAGTCTTGATATTTGCACTGAAATGACTTAAGAGTTCAATATCTCACCAGTTTTTGTAAAATCAAAGATTCGAACAAACCTTTCAGGTGAAAAACTGGGTACAGATGCATTTGGAACTGGGCCTACAAATTCCACTTCATTGTTTTTAAGTCTCTTCTGTTTTTTTAAACTTGTCCTGCTGCTCTTTTTGTCCACTGACTGACAAAGTCTGTCATTTGTCTCAGTTTCATTATAAATTGTAAGAGGTCTTTTAATGGAGCCATTTGGGGTGTGGGCCCCACAGTAGGCTGTCTTTTTCACCGAGAAAGTGGGTAACCCGGAGTCAGTCAACTCTTTAATAGGCTCCATTTTCATAAAGAGACCAGCCTTCTGTGCACAGCTGACATGAAAAGCAGTGTAGCAGTTCGCTTTGTGGCACTGGATACAAGCCCCAACACCTTTTTCTTTACAGAGGTAGCAGGTAAGCTTCCATCGAGCTGGCGGAATATTTGAAACACCATCAATAGGCTCAATGAAGACCATGTTGGAAAACCCAACCTCGGGAACCCATAAAGCACAAACAACATGACCCCACTGGTCATCTTCTGTCTTTTTGACCGCTCCTCCCTTGTTAGGGCAGAGGATGCAGTTAGCGGGTTGTGTTGGGGACTGCAGACAATGTCGGCAAAGCCACTGTCCCTCTGGAATATATGGAACACCATAACAATCCTGATGAACAGCCAGATTGCACATATCGCAGAACAGGATGGCATTGCTGTCCATGCAATCTCCATCCATGCATATGCAGCAAACAGCATCTTCATCGATTAAGGACTGTAGACTCTGTTGGCCCTGAATCTCTAAAAATGATTCTTTTTCAAAACGGTCAAGAAGGAACTCAAAGGCATTAGGGGAAACCGGGTTAAGACCTTCATTCTTTCTTTTCTCATTGATCAGCTCAAGCCAGGCATAGTCCTCTTCGTCCATATCATATTCCACCTCCTCATTTAGCTCTTCTGAAGTTTTCTCCTCATACTTGTAGTATGTAGAAGGTCTGCGTGGGATTGCTGGGAGATTGTAATCCACTGTGCGGAATTTGGGCTCGGGAAGAGTGCTGCCTTGCACTAAAGCATTTTGTGCGGTGACAGCAGTGCTCTTTTTCTGCTGGTTGTTTCTGAGGCGTGCAGAACGTACCAAAACCTGCTGGTGTTTTTCAGCATTCTCCTTATTGCTGGTACACTCCATAATTTCCTGTGCAATGGGATCCTCATCCGTGATGATGTAGAGCTTGTCAAAGATGCTGAACCGGTGCAACCGGCCATTAACTTCTAGTTCGATCATTCTCTGGGCCTGGGCGTAAGTCAGCGTCTCACGGTTTGAGGAAAGTTTGATAGGGGCAGGTAGCCACTGAGGGGAGAATACTTTGTGAGGTAGAGATTTTCTCTTCATTGAGGATCCTTACGAAGCTGAAAAGAGAACATAACCAGTGTTATTCCTAATTCAACAGTGCATTTGAATTATATGTTGATGCAACCCACAAAAATTAAACCATGCTGATTTACATGACTGAATCTAAATAATCCATGTCACAGTGGAGGAAGTTATTCAAAAGTACTGTTACCAAGGTACAATGATGCTTTGGTACTGTTGTGTACAACGGCACTGAAGCCGTTTCGTTTTCTAAAGTTCTGTTAAAAGCTATTTCTACTTCAACTACAGTTTTATCAAGGGATTATTGGGTTACTACAAGATAGCATTGATTAGTATAGCAGCGTAGGCGCAATTAGGTCGCATTTTCGGGCATCACAGGAGAGATCAGAGACACCATTCGGACGTACAATTCAAAACATTTTGGCCATTTTACGTGCATTCGAATTCAAACATTCGAATCGAAACATTTTTTCAACATCACGGCAGCGTTTTGGGGGTCGCCTATCCCCTAAAATACTGTCCATGTAGGCAGTTCGCGATGTTTTGAGACACTATGAAGATACACATTCAAATCTTATCTCTTTATATTCCCAGGCATTAACAGGTGCATATCGCAAAACAATGACGGTTATCTTATGATCGATCATTTTACCTCTGATCTGCTGAATAAAGAAAGGAACAGCTTTCTGGCGAGGTGGCCTGCAGTTATTCCGTACACAATGTTCTCATCCAAGGACCACCAATTTAAATCTGCATGGATAAATCTGGAATGCTGCAAACGCTTTAACCACAGCGGCCGCCAGGACTATAATTATGAACTAATAATCACTACGAAAACGCTTGGTTTGATTGCCAGTCAAACACAGCGTCGTTTCCTTGCTGCAACGAGCTGCAATACGACTCTTCGCCTGCAACCAACAACAATGCGGATGGTTCACTACAAATAGACGTCCCACCCGCAACGCATGGCGTCATGACGTACCCAGCTCGCTCATAGGGTCTCACCGTCTCACAGGCTAAACAATATAATTTCATTGTGACCGTGATATTTCCTAAAGGAAAATGTTTTAATGTACTTTATATATATATATACATATACATTTTTTTCCTCATGAAAATTTCTTTCCAAAGAACCAATTTGACAAAACATGCGTGATTTAATTTTATACTATTCATGTTCTGCATTTGTACTATATTGTTTATATTATTTATTTATAATACTGGCATGATTTTGTTATGCATTTTAATTGTTTCAGCTTAATGATTCTAAGTACAACAATTAAAAAAATCATTTCCATCCTCAATTCAAAATCTCAATTACATTGTTGTATGAACCTCTACGAACACAAACATATTTATCATTTAATTTGCAAACAGGAAATACAAATAAATAGAAAGCTGGTTGAGGACAATAGGCTATAGTATCTCATAAACAGCAAAAATCCAGAAAAATTTACATTTAAACATCTAAGGGCCTGTGTGTTTTGCCTGACTGCCCCTGAGAGAGACCCTGGGGTCAAGAAACCCCGTGTGTTTGCTTTAGTAAACCCTCGTTATTTGTTATCTGTGGTTTGACCGTCTATGCATACGTATGCAAAGTGTAGAATCAGTTGCTTCGTAATTTTATGTACATGATTATGACCTCTTATCGGCTATGAGATTGAAATGACGGTAATTTCGTGTTATTAACCCCACCCACTATATCAAAAGCCTCTGTGACGCCATAGAGCCATGTTTCTTCCGTCTGACGCCGTGTGGCGCTACTACTGCGCACTGTTTACGGCACAGGAGACAAAGCAACCAACTCAATTACAACACTGGATCAACCGTGCGCTTTATTTAACCATTTCACAGCCGAAACTCACTTAAGTAAACCCCAGGACACAAAGGTAAGCTATGCTTATGTCTTTGTATTTGAGTATTTACATTGTCTCGGGAAGACGCATGCATGATTTTGGTTTAGATCCAGTGACCCGGCTAGTTCGACGAGCTTCTCTGTTTTGTGCGACCAGGATCCGGTTCTGCCTCATCAGGTTATGTCCTGTGTGGCCTAACATAACCACACAATTGAGTTGTCACTAAGTCAAATACGCTCTTTCTACGTGATTAAACGATTCTACGTAGGCATTTTAAATCCCCAAGCAGTCGTATTTACAAATTAAATAATAAGAAAACACACACAAGTAACTCGAGTTTTATGTCCATATGGCAGGAGAGAACCGTGAAGTGTTTTCCTGTTGTTTTGTCTACGAGCTAATGCACTAGCCGCTAGCATGTGTCGCTCTAGCTAGCGCCTACATCTCGTGAGGTCGCGAGAGCGTGTGTTGAGACGAGTACCTCAAGCAGCACCCAACTTCCTTATTAGAAACATCTGATAAATTGTACATAATTTTATTCGAACTACATGGAACATACAACAGCATACGGTCATAATTATCATAGTAGGTTGCTCAATGTATATTTTTGATTTTTTTTTAAATGTATGTCTTTATGTCGTGACAACTGACAGAAAATTTAAACGTTATTTAATATATTCTTTACACCAAATAAAACAAATTCCACTTTGAAATATTGTAGCATACACGTATAATGTATATTTTGTTTTTGCTATTAATTGCTGTAATAGGCCAGATTGTCATTGATGACAACAACTGACGTTTTGTTAATCTGTATCGCTATGTTCCGTTATGAACAGGTTAAAACCAGGAAAGGGCTGTATGACTTTGTTAAATATGGAGGTACTTCGGAACAAAAAACACCAAGGATTCAAATAGTAATAGTTTATATAGAGGAAAATATACCTATTGGGTCAATAAACACTGTTGCAATTCAAGAAATTAAGTAGGCCTATGTGTGGATATCACAGTATAGCTTTCTCATAGCTCTGTGTAGTTACAGGTCCATTAAAGATGTCACTCAGAATGTTTATACATATACAGCACTTTTGCAGGCACAACGCATTTGGAAGGCTTCAAAGTGCACAAAATCATTACTGATCTGTAGGCATCCATAGCAGCCTTATGCAGGTTATATAATTATTTCAATGTTGGACAAGTTTCCAATTTATTTTAAAGTATCATTATCATGTTCACATGAATGAATGGGTTGTATTAGTGCTGGGCGGTATACCGGTTCATACCGAATACCGGTGTTTATTTTTGTTATGATATGAATTTTTAAAATACCGCAATACCGGTGTATGTCGCTTAAACAACGTTCGGAACGCGGCACTGTTTGAAAGGGGTCCCTTTTCACTGTTGCACTGTGTTGAGAACACAGCTGTAGGGCTGCACGATTAATCGAATGCGATTGTCATGCGCATTTTGTAGAATGCAGGAGAAGAAACACTCTTCAGCAATAAAAAAACAAAGCACAATTGTTAGTTTCTCTAAAGTCATTTATGCTTATTAGTGTGGTTGAACTGGATCATCAAAGGTCAGCAGCAAAGATATTGGTTAATAAAATGGGATTAGATACATTTGTGTTATTTAACATATTTAATTATTGCAGGTTTGCGTCATATTCTGAGTTTGCATTTCACTGTTTTAATTCATTTTGATGAATACTAAATCTGTTTTTTTGCGAGTCGGATGAATTAATGCACATTCACATTTAGTCTAGAACTACAGCAACATCATGTTCACACAGTGCACACAACGCCTCTGTACTTCTGATTTCTCCCAATATGGGGACAGGAGAGCTGTCAGTCAATAAATGGGAAAACAAAGTAACTGGCGTTACTTTTTTGAAAAAGTAACTCAGATATTTTCTTGTAAATTAAAAAAGTAATGCGTTACTTTACTAGTTACTAGTAATCTGATTACGTAACTCGCACTACTTGTAACCCCAACACTGATCATGACAGTAAAATAGGGCATTCTAAGTCAATATACTGCAGTATTTCCTCTCTCAATCAGTAGAAAATATGGTTAACACCCGGTCATGCATAAAAATAAAAATACCGCCATGTACCGTGAAACCGGTATAATTTTGAAAAATACCGTGATATAAATTTTTGGCCATACCGCCCAGCACTAGGTTATATTATCATATAATATTCATGTATGATTGATCATTGCTACTGATCCCAAATATATATGCACCAATAGTAATACCGGCCATAAATAAGATAATTATTTTTGTGTTATGCTGATAACTGACTAACTAACTAACTGTCTGTTTTGGCTGTTAGGGCTATATGGTTATTTTCATTGGAGATACTTACAAAGCTGAAAAGAGAGAACAGAACCAGTGTTATTCCTAATACAACAATAATAATAATATAATTTTCCAATATCTAACCAGTGAAATATTCAGCGATTTGTTGCCAACAAAAAGTTGTTCTGGTTTACATTTTGGATAGTCTTCCATGGTATCCTGAACACCTTTTTGGTGACCGTTTGACGGTGGTTGGTATAAAAGCAAGGCTTAGCAGAGAGTTAGTTTTACAAACCATAAATACACAAAACTACTTTTCAAGACGGATATCTCTGAAAGTAATGATAACTTGCAGTTCAGGTCAGTTAGTGATTTCATTCATTTAAATCGTCAGACTGATTCAAACAGATAAACTACAATAATAATTTTATTACTAATAACTAACAATAATGAGTTTGAAATAATGTCTTATAAAAATTACTTATAAAAAGTGGTTTTGAGTTATAAAGGTGCATCTCAAATTAGAATGTCGTGGTAAAGTTCATTTATTTCAGTAATTCAACTCAAATTGTGAAACTCGTGTATTACATTCAATGTAATGAACTTTTCCACGACATTCTAATTTATTGAGATGCACCTGTATGTGTCAATGTGTATATAACATTTTTAATCATACATCCAGTTGCAATGAACTTTGATTCCTTTAAACTGCTAATTGTATTTTTAATTATCTTAATGTTCTTCTATCTCCCATCTAATTTTTCAGGTTCTACAAATGAACATATCTGTTGCATCTGGGCTCAGATATAACATGTTAAAGTAAACATCTGGATGGAAGAAAGAGCCACACCCATGACACTTGAATACTTAAAAAGCTGCTTTGAATAGAGAAGGTTTTCTTTCCCTGCAGAAATTCTTTATGCGATAATGGATGGAGAGGACGGCCTCTCACAGAAGACTGAGGATATAAGCCACAAGCATAATGTCTCCAAAGATAACAAGAGAATAGAGGCCAAAGGAACCTGTTTAAAAATAGAAGGGAAAGATGGTTATGTGTTTAAATCATACAGAATTACTCCTCAAGAGGTATTGGAAGCAGAACCCCACACTTGTCCCTCTGAGACACTGGCAAAAGATTCCTCTTTGGTGTCTTTGTCATTTGAAGGCACAGAGGAAGATAGATCTTCTGAGGTCGATGGGCTTTCAAAAGAGGATTCAGCAGCAGAAAGTTGTGAAAAGCATGACTCTCAAACATCTCCAACTATTTCAAATAAGAGCCAGAACATTGAAATAAATAATTCAGAAATTGAAACAGGTGTATGTATCAAAGCAGAACCAAATGTAACGGGTGAAATCGCTCAGGATGATGAAAAGTTATCATTTGATGGGGCCTTCGGCCCCTTTGCCACCAGAAGTTATGATGATGATTATGGTAGCTTGTTCAGTGGGTACTCAAGTACTCTGTATGATGTTGCAATGGATGCTGTCACACAAAGCCTTCTATCATCCGTAAGAAGTCCCCTTAACCCTAGAAAAAAATCCCCTGCTTGGAACCATTTTTTCATATCACCACGTGATAGTACCAAAGCAATCTGTATGTACTGTATGAAAGAGTTCAGCCGGGGTAAAAATGAGAAAGATCTCAGTACTAGTTGTTTAATGAGGCATGTGCGAAGGGCTCACCCCACTGTTCTTCTGCAAGACAGTGACTCTGTAAATAATTTGTCCAATAATTCATCTTTAATACCTCCCAATATATCACCAAACAATGGAGACTTGTCTGTATGCATCAAGCCCCCTACAGACAGCCATACGCCATTGTCCTCCATTCTAGCTGAGGCCACAGACATAGTGTCCAAAAACTCTTTACAAAAGGTCAAACCAAAAGCAGAAAAGAGCGTCAAGAGTGACTCTAGTGTGGTTCCATCCCCACATTCCTTAAACAACCATAATGATGATGCCACAGACTTGGGGAGTGAATGCCCTGGATCAGCCCCTAAGAGCTCAAGTTCCCGGCGGCGCTCAGCAGTGTGGAAACACTTTTATTTATCCCCTGCTGACAGCTCGAAAGCAGTGTGTATTCACTGCATGAATGAATTCAGTCGTGGCAAAAATGGGAAAGACTTGGGGACGAGCTGCCTTATTCGCCACATGTGGCGGGCCCATCGAGACATAGTTATTGAAGAAAATGGACAGGGCTCAAGCATTCCTCCACCTTACACCACTCCACCAACATTGCTCTCGCGCACACAAGACTCCACAGAGGTCAAAAAGGAATTCCTCTGTACCTCACATCGCTCTGATGCCATATCAGACGAAGTGCCCAATGATGACAGTGAGCACATGACTCTTGAGGATGATGCAAATGATGCTACATATCAATCTGGACAAGAGTCCTCACTTGATGCATCTTTTAGACTGAAAGGGGAAAATATACCTCTGTCATCCTCGCCAGAGGAACACGGTGAGGGGCACAGCATATCCCAAGATCAGAGCTCAGTTTTTCAACAAAACAAAAAAATAATGAAACGGGTGAAATCAGAAGTATGGCATCATTTCATTGTCTCTCCTGTTGACCAACTCAAAGCTTTGTGTCGGTATTGTCCCTGTGTTATAAGCCGTGGTAAACGAGGGGACTTTGGCACAAGCTGTTTAATGAGACATTTGATGCGACGGCATCCTGACGTTCTCAAAACCCAAAAAAGCACAAATGACAAAGTTTCATCACCACAGTCTCCCCTTTGTACTCCTGCTGCAGAGGACAACATGACAACAAATGCAACGGACAGCCCTGCTGCTGAGAACAAACACCACACCCTGCCTGTTTTCAGCAAAAAGACTTCAAAGCTATGGAAACACTTTTCTATTTCCTCTGTGGACCCAACAAAGGTGGTCTGTTTGCACTGTAGCCGCACAATTAGCAGAGGCAAAAAGACAACCAATTTAGGCACTAGTTGCTTATTTAGGCACATGCAGAGGAAGCCATAAAAAGTCAGAGGATGGTTCAGAACTTGCTTAGTATTGCTCGGAAAATCTGTGAGAGAGTGCATCGTTCTGCTAAAGCAAAGGAGAAGTTGGCAGAGCTGCAAAAAACTTATCAGTTACCTGAAAACCAGCTGGTTCAGGATGTTCCCTCTAAGTGGAAAACATCGTATTTTATGCTTGAGCGATTAGTAGAGCAAAAGAAAGCCATTGATGAGATGTCAATAGAGTGCAATTTCAGGGAACTGATAAGCTGTGACCAGTGGGAAGTCATGCAGTCAGTCTGCAATGCTCTTAAGCCTTTCGAGATAGCCTGCAGGGAGATGAGCAATCGCACAGCAACACTAGGTCAGGTCATTCCACTCATTCACATACTCAACCGAAAAATAGATATGCTTTTTGATGAGACCATGGGTATTGACAATATGCTCAAGTCTTTAAAGGAAGCAATGGTGACTAAAATGTCACCTACACTTCATGACCCCAGGTACATATGGGCAACCATGTTGGACCCGAGGTATAAGACCTCCCTTTTTACTGAGGAAGAAGCAGAGCAGTGTAAGCATGACCTCATACAAGAGCTTGAGGTGTCTGCATCTAACTGTGTGGAGACTAAACCACCACTGTCAAACGGATGTAGTGAAATACCAACTTCATCAAACAGCTTGGCCTCAAACAAAGAAAACCTCTGGGCTCTTATGGATGACATTAGACAGAAAATCAAGCAGGAGGAGAGACCAAAATCATTGGAGCTTGCAGTGCTGGAGTATTTGGAGGAAGACATTCTTGACCAGAGTTGTGATCCTCTGGATTATTGGAACCTAAAGAAGTTACTGTGGCCTGAACTTGCCAAAGTAGCTGTACGCTATGTGGGTTGTCCACCCAGTATTGTACCAGCAGACACACTTTTTAGCACATCAAGTGTCAACTGTGCCCTGAATCAGTCCCGGCCATTGCTAGAAAATCTTGAAGGACTTCTTTTTTTAAAGGTCAACCTTCCTTTGATATATTTTCAGTACTGATGATTGCGTATTTATATTTGCAAGGCTGTTTCTTAGATTCTCATGAACCTCAACCTAGGACCACTCAAGTAACTTTTCTGAGAAGGCCTAACTAAACAATTCATTTTACTGAGGTTCATATTCTTCAATACACAGCATTTGGATGATATTTCATTGAATAAAAGATTGCTTGAGTACTACTGTTAAGTACACTTGGTAACTGGAGTCTTATTTCTGGTGAAAAGTGTTTTCAGGGAGGGAGGGTTAGCTAGCTATAGGGGTAGTTATTGTTTGTTGCTGTACTTTGATTCCTTTTATAAATTTTATTTTATCTTTGTCTTCTCTCTCCTTGTGCCTTATACAAACTTACTTCAGGTCAACATGCTGTAAATATTAACTGATGTGCAAAGCAAGTCATAGTCTTCTGATTTAAATGAATTTATAAAATTGAAACTACATGCTGAATACTGTTTTTATATAAATACATGACCCAAAATAAATGCTGTGACTGAGAGATGTTTTAAATGTATTTTATTTAATTCTGTGATTTTTGTGGTTCGTGGTACTGTTAGAATTAGGGTTATTTTTATTTTTGCTGATGATTGTTTTGTTTGTATCTGTCAAAATGTACGTAATGCTGTACTTTCAGGTTAAAAACTTTTTTTGAAAATTTGTCAAGCACAAATCTTTTTTTTTTTTTTCTTAAATTATGGGACATTAAGGAAATGTACTGTACATTTGATAAATTTCCAAACTATAATTTGACAGAGAAATAATTGAGACTGGAACAATTAGTTGTTGTTTTCTTTCATTTTTATGTGGTAATTTGTAAATAAAACTTTACACTTTGAAACCATGTTGCTTTTAAATTTCATGTTTCAGATCTTGGTCTTGTGAATGTTTTTAATTATTGTCATCTTATGCATTATATATTTTCCAAATCTGGATTATTTTGCTAAATCTAATTCTAATCCAAACTGAGAAAATGTGTGGAAAGAGGTTTAGGTATTAATAGGGCTAGTTGTATACAGAGGACATAGCTATACAAGGACTATAGTTGCCATAGGACTAGTGGTATTTGATGTTTTGCTGAACTTTAGTATACTGATTGCAATTCTGAAAAAAGGATGTGATGGATAGGCCATCTGTCCAGGGTGTTCCTCTGCCTTCAGCCAGAGATGTTTAGATGACTCTACATAGCGCAATCTTTTTGGAAAAATGGTTGGATTTAGTTTTTTATGTGTACGATTAAAGGGATGGTATAATCTCACCCTTATGTCATTCCACAACTAAGACTTTCATTTTTCTGTGGAACAACAATTTTTGTCCATTCAATGGAAGTCAACGCTCAACAAAACGGTTTGGTTACCAGCTTAAAAATATCTTTTGTATTCTGCAAAAGAAAGTCATACAGGTTTGGAACGACATAAATGATGACTTTAAGTGCCATTAAAGTCTGAAACCACAGTTATCACTCATGCAAAGCATACTGGGAGGCATAGTAATAGCATGTTTACATTGCTTACAAAAGGAAGCAGCGAGCAAATGACCATGCTATTCAAACACCTTAACTCAGGACGTCTCCCCTGTCAGTAAAACAGACCATCAAAAGAATTCAGAGAACCACTTCTGTAAGCATTTATTTGTCCTTGTCTTTGCATATGGAATATTTTATTCAATTATTATTGTAACAATTTCAGTTCAGGCGTTCACTATCTGGGTTCATTATTTGAGTGTCTTTCTAGCAGCACAAGCTTGTTGTTTAGCTTGATTCTGATAGGTGGAAATTGGAACATCTCAAATACGAGGTTTTGGTATCCTGAGAAGAAGACCAAAGGTTTGTGAGAGTCTTTGAACATTGATATTTTAGTTGCATTTGCTTCCATTAACAGGTGTGAATATGTTTTCATAACTGCATCTTCAAGAGTCAAATTCTCCTTCTTGTCATATCTAGGAAATTAAAGAAAAACATTCAGACAAATCACCAATATTGCACATGTATAGCATTGTCTTTGATAATTGATTGGTCACACACCTCCAGTTACTATTTAGCTCCAGAAAACGTGAGACTCCCGTCTGTGCAGCAAGTACGTCGATGTGTAATGACACATCTGTGTGAGAAGTATGCAACTTAATCAGATTGCTTTCATTTTTCAATAATAATTCAATACTAAACAAGCAATATACCTGCTGTTGCTGGAATTATTCTATGTAGCTCCTGCATTGCTTTCCCTCCTGGGTAGTTGTGATGGGAAACATAAAGAGAAATACTTGTGTATACTCCATTTAGCATCAAATGTCCAACCATAGCTATGGAGCCAATTTTATACATCCATGACTTGTGGTAATTCTTCAAACTGTAACAAAAAAGAAGAGAAAAGTAAAACTATCTAAAAATATCTGTTAACATGAAATATTGTAGGGATGAAAAAATAACAAAGACACTGTTTTCCTGTTAAAACCACCTGTTCCATACCAAAACAGAGGGTACAAATTTTGCTAATTTTAACACATTTAGTACAGCTTTAATCTGCTGATTGGTCTGTTTGAATGTATTAGATTAGTTTTTTAGCTACATGGACAAGGAAAAAAAAAAGAATTGCACCAATGAGCTGTTTTTGACAAAGTAAAAAGGGTGTTGTTTGATTGAGAATTTTTAACTAAAGTATGTTACAGACATTTCATGAAGACCCTAAAGAATCAAAAAAACGTGCGGAAAATGGGCATTCTATCTCCCCTTTAAACAAAATTTTGTAGTCAACTAGTCTAAAAAATATATAACTTTTTGGGTAAAACATCATATATGAACAACTCATTTGCAAGATTTTGTATTATTTTGATAGACCAATCTGATACTAAAGTGCATTAAAATTATCTATAGGAGTGCAGGACCAATTAGAGCAAAATGAATAGCCGTATCTATAAAATCAAGTAAAAGTTAGCCAGCATAACTAGGGGTTGTGTTAACTAAAACTGCCCATCATTTACTGAAATTCATAAACACTGACAAATAATACAGTACGTCCACACAAAACAAGGTTCATGTATTTCAGAAATTAAGGTCATGTATTTCAGATTCTTTTACTTTAAAACATTTGTCCTTTAATGTTTAATCAAAATATAATAAAAGGGCTTTTCAGAGAAAACTCTCTCTCTGGTGACGTATGCAGGAATTCTCCACCTGCAAACTTCATTTTCCTCCACTTTTGAGTTCACCGGCACATTTAAAATCAATCTGACCAATCTTAACCAATCAACAACTGATGCATAGAATTCCCCATCCAAACGTTTTTCTTTTTTCAATAATCTGTTATACTCGGATGTACATCACAATATAAAAACAAAAGCCCTGTCTCTACTTCTATTTTATTGTAACTTCAATTCAATTTCAATTCAATATTTTTTAATTAAGTTTAATAATGTTTTATTCTAGTTTAATAATGTTCTATTTAAAAACTATTTAAAATATGAAGATAGAATAGTTTAAAAAAGTAAATAATCCATTAAAACAGCATTAATCATTAAAACAGCATGCAGCCTTCAAATATTTTTCAATTAAGTAAAAAAATTGCTTTAAAAAGGTCAAGTGAAAAGTTAGTAATAAAATGAAGAACAAAGAAACTCATACAGAACAAGTGGCAAGTCTATCAGTCTGCATTTACACTCCAAGATCTATTTTGACATCAGATTTTTTTGTCCCATTTGTTGCCATGGTATAACTAACATAGTGAAAACACAGTGTAATAGGGCTGCACGATTAATCAAATGCGATTGTCATGCACAATTTGTTAGTAATGGGGAAGTCGTGGCCTAATGGTTGAGAATGATCTTTGATTGTTTCTATATATAAAATGATCACAGTATAGTTAACATAGTTTTCACGCGACTAACAGGAACTGTGTGCAGTTGAACATTTAGTCACTGACTCGATTCACTAATGCATAAAAGCAGTAAACCACTTTGTGACAAAGAACGACTATATGACAACAATCACAGGTCATGATGGTCATGAAACGCCATCTCAGATTACGTTTCTAGAGGTTTATAAAGTTTACAAAGTTTGTTGTTGCAAATTGTTTGTGAAACTGCAGTCTGACGGAAAGATTTCAAATTACATATTTGATCTGTGTATGTATGTGGATTAACTATAGTAAATTAATACATGGAACATACAGGAAAGAGAATTAAGTATAATCCTGCACTAAAGTTCAGGCCCTGAGTATAATCTCAGGAAACATTGAAAAAATGCTGTTCATGACCCCTTCAATCTTTTTTGCTAATCAAAAAATAAACTAAATGTCTAGTGTTCTTATATTTTAAGCTAACAGGACATCTTGTGTCAAGTATGAGGCTTTCTATGCAGGATTTGATTTGTGATAACGATATTTAAAAATCATAGGTACTTTGTAGGGATGTAACGATATTAAAATCTCACGATATGATAATATTGCGATATTTAAGGAAAAAAAAAAGACAATTGAAAAATTGGAAAAAATGGTGACCACGATAATATCGAGACAGTGTTGCTATCGCGATATCACAATATTGATAATATCGTTACTTCCCTAATATTTTGTCCTTATCAGTATTGTCGAGTAATATTTGACCAGCAGTATCTGTACTTTCACTCAAGTAATGGAGTTGAGTACTTTGTCCGCCTCTGCTTATTAGGCTTGCTACTAAGGGGCATAAGGGACTGTTGTAACCTTCTTTTTACATTTATTCCCTTTTGCTCTCATGTCACTTAGGCCAAGTAGGCTATAAAATGCTAACAACTAAGGTTTTGTTTTAGCAATCTCTCATTCAGTCTGGCCCTATTCAGGTACACCCATATTTTTTTAATTTCCCATCAAAAGACTCAAATGGATAAAATAAAATCTTATCATACATTTTTCTCATTCACTATTCTGTTTCACTCTGAAATACACCAAATTATGGAAGTAAAATGGGTTTCATGCAAGAAAATTCAATACAGCTACCAATTCATTACTATCAAAATATGTTCAACTTACATAAAGGAACAGCCGCAGGCAGCAATCATGTTGAACACAGGGAAGGTGTAGATGATGAACCGGAGCTCCTTGTGTGGCAGAAAGGAGTACAGCAGAATGAAGCCTACAGTTACGATGAGCGGTTTTCTTGTTCGTCTATCCAACAGGCCGAGTGGAATAAATAGTATTGTGCTGCCAAGAGCTCGAGGGAGAGCAGAGTAGAAGTACCACAGAAAAGGGGAAGCTTGAGGCACAAAAGAAGTCAAGGAAAGATACAAAATTTTGACAGGAGACAGAATCATGCTGTATTTTTATGATAATAGTAATGCATTACCATTGTTTTTAAAGGTTTAGTTGGCCCAAAGTTAAAAAAATTCTGTCATCATTTACTCAATCTCATTTTGCTTACAATCTGTAGTTCTCTTTTTCTTCTTTGGAACACAACAGTTTACTGGTCACATTTACTCATGTGATCATTGGTTTAAGCATCAAAAAGAATGCAGAAGCAGAATACAAGTTTTTCTTCCACATTCAGCTGTAAAAGCCTTAGCTATTACCTTGAGAGCCACTGAGCCCGAAACACTGAGTAATAGTTTACAATGCACACAACAAAACCGTTTATTGCAAGCAAGTTTCTCAAGACAAGAAAACGGCATTTGTGTTTATATGCACTGTTAGCAGTTTTATTAACTAGCATGTACATACGATAAGCAGCTTTCTCCACCCTTTCCATTATGTATGTTATCCCACACAAATGCACTCTTCACAAACCTGTTAATCCTATGGACTAGTAAAGTATGGACTGTTAGTCCTTTTGACTACTTTTGCAATATTTTTTGTGTCATTTTTAAATCTTGAAATCGCCGGTGCTCATTCATTGTAATTGGAAAAGAGCAACCAGTTCCTCCTTTTGTGCTCCACAGAAGTCATAAGGGCTTGGATTGTCATGAGAGACAATGACAGAACATTTTATTTTGACTAAACTATTCCTTTAAACTACAAGCATTTTAAAAGAATTTTGCAAAAGGATATTCCCCAGTTGGAGCTTTTATTCAAGACAGTGTTGTACCATAGTACCTGACCCTCAGGCCAGAGCAGCTTATTCCAGAAAACTGTGTCAACCATGACAGTGAGACCTACAAAAGACAGCAAACACACTTCAGTCTGTGAAGGTCTTTGTCCGTGCATGACGCGAAGCAAAACATATGAACAAATAGAAAAGTCTACATTTAGCTTTAGACAATTACAGTATATGCTAACAAAATACTAAGAAAATACAGAAAACAAGCACTTGTGCATCACTGACCCAAAGATAAAAGACCAGCAGGTACGGCATGGTAAAGCAACTGTAGAAAATGGAGTTTCCTGCTCAGGAGTGACAGCAACAACATCAGGCCAAAGAAGAGACACAATTCAGAGCGAAACACAATAATGGCCAAAGCGGAGAGCCAAATGAAGGCACTGTGTCTCTGGCCCAACCAAGATGTGAATGCCAGCAAAACTATTCAATAAAACACAATTTGGAAAAACAGTTTAATGCTAAAATTTAAGTTAGACAAAATAATGTATTACTAGAACAAGATGCCATTACACACTGACATTTTTATTAATATGATTCATAAAGCAAGTCAGCAAGTCAAGTTGCTTTAGCTTTGTTTTCTAAGCCAAAATAACAAAACGGCTAATAGAAAACTTTAAATATTGCTCCAAAATACTTTGTACAATACTTTGTACTTTATATAGTCTGTACCTAAAGGCAAAGCAAACACATTTGGGAGGGTTCTGGTACTGTAAAACATCAGATGGAACTGTGTGATGCAGATAAAGCAAAACAGACTGGCCACCATTGACCCAAACTGCCTCCGGACCTCTCTTTGCATCTGCCATAGTGACTGAATCACACATAGTCCAAGAACTCCTCTCACTGTGGAACAAAGAATAACATAAAGCAGATGAAACTGAAACAAATAAAAGGAGATTAATGTAGGCCTAAAGCTACAGGTTGTGATCTCAGACATACCAAGGATCTGAGTGTAAAACTTTGGTGTTTGAAAGAGGGCAAGCACACAAGTCATTGCTGCACTGAGTGCTGATATGAACAGGGGTCCGAGAAACGTACGTGGAACCACACCAGGAAACTCATGATGGTCATACTAGAGAAACAGTAATAACAAGGAGTTAAGTCTTTGTGTATGTCTAGTTGTTTCAATGCTATACAACATTAAGCACCAGCACTACAACAGAGTGCTGCAGCAGTTAATAATTCACCACGGGACTCTCTTCCGGGTTTTGACGTCACAGCTGTAGCACTCTTAGCAAATCTAATCAGATCTCTAGCTTAGGTTTAACGCACTAAAACACAGGATTAACAAAGAGAACACGTTATAATTTAAATAGTTAAATGCGCTGTTTTAAGGTTAAACATGATTTTTTTTTAAATAGTAATAATAGTTTTTGAGATTTTAGCACTTACCTTTTCAAAATCAAATCTGTGATACAGAACATCGTGAATTGCTTGTAAATTAAAACTTTCCTCAACTTTGGTGTAAGGACAGATAAACAAATGTATAAATACAATACAGATGATAAAAATTAAGAGGGGACGCTCATTTACAGCTTCCTTTCGAGCCATATTCTTCTTCTTCTTCTTCTTCTTCTTGTACGATTTTATGGCGGTTGACAAGCCAACTTATGGTGTATTACCGCCACCAACTGGACTGGAGTGTGAAGCATTAACGGGAAAGAGGGAAAAAGGGACCCCCTCCCCAAAAAAATAAAAAAATAAAATAAAATAAAAATAAAATAAAATAAACAACTAAACCTTCCATAAATAAAAGTAAACTTTCATAGGTGATGAGTCTGAAATTTGAGTACCAAAAAAAAAACATTCAAAACACCCAAAAACCATGGTGGATGTTTCCTATTCTCTCCAATCTATGGCGCACTCAGATCTTTCGAGCCATCATAGCTCGCTATACTAGTTGTACTGCCACAGCGCGTGCGCAAAAGTTCAAGCTAAAGAAATAAATGGGTAGAATGGAAATCGACAGAAATGCAAAGTTATGACATGGGCGGTGCTTGGCGCCACGAAAGTTTTCTGTGACTTGTGGTGTTTTTTGTTGTTGTTTTTTACTTCACTTTTGTATTAAATTCAAAGTTTTGTTTTTCAAGGGCTCTGGGTTTCACTTTTTTCGAAAAATTCCTTTTCCATACACACGAATCATCTCAAGACACTCAGATATGGTGATGTGTGATTCTGTTCATATGCCTTGCCTGTCCACCTTATTTTGCAACGCAGAAGTACGCTATTTTCTGTGAATGTGCGAAACGTATTAGACGCCACACACAAAGTGTGTTTATGATTATGAAAATAAATTAAAGTAACATCATAACAAAATACCAGTTTGCAGTATAAAGCTGCATAACGGACTGTTTTTGTACACCAGAAGCCTCGCACATTAAAGTTAAAAGTGTCCCGGCCGCTGCTGTTGCGATAAAAAAAAAGGTGTACAGTATGCGCACAAAATGCAGCCACTAGTGTTTCAACTCGCGGATGAAAGCTGTAATACTAATGTTGTCCAACAGAGGAAGCCACAGGATAAGAAAACTTTCAACATCTAATCTTTTCTCCATCTGAATGATTCAACATGCAGTAAATAACATGAATAAACATGTAGTAGACACACAAATTATTTTCTCTGTGTTTTTTTTAGCATGTATAGCATGTGTTTCTGTAACTGTTTCATTGAAAATTGTTGCCTTTGCAAAATATTTTACATTTGACGAAATAGCCTACATGGCAATTGTTTGACCGTTTGTATGAGCCATTGGTGCTTGGACCCCAATGGCCGTTGCTTGCAGCTATTTAAAAAAATATATATATATATTTTTAATGCACAGTTTTTCAATTTGGCGAGACTATTGGCTTGGCTTTCTGATGGCATTAACAAGCACATCCTCTATTTTGATTGTTTTCAAGCCTTATTAGGTTTGAAATGACCCAAATTGTTTGTGGACACAGGTTTAGCTATTCCAGTAATGGAATAGCTGTGAACAACAAATCTGAATACTTGCAACTTTGATGCAGCAGTTTGTGTAGTGCCAAAACTGTTGCTACAAACCGATTGAGATACAGAAAATCTACAGTGGGGTCGAACTGAGCTCAGTCTTACCTGGCTAGCCACTAAATATTTTCATTGTTCAGGTCTTAGATGCATGAACTTTTTTCCCCTTCATATCTACCACAATATTTTAATAATGCCCAAATAAGGAATGAGAACACCTACTTACTACCCACATACTCCCTTTGATGCATAGTTTTGTGCATCCTCTGGCATATGCACTCCTCAATTCTTTATTCCTTATTTTATATAATTTATGCTACCCTATGTTTCTTAATGGACAGGCAAGTCAAGTTAAATCACCTTTATTTATATAGCACTTTATAAATACAGATTGCTTCAAAGCAGCTTTACAGTGGCAAACAAGAAAAAAAGTGCAAACAAAATTCAGTTCTGCTGTAAAGCAGCTCTAAAAAGACAATAGAAAATAGTCATTATTCAGTTGAAATCAGTTCAGTGCTGAAAAGTGTCAGCTTTGCTCATGTTTTACATGGATATCATTAAAGTTAAAGTTGATGTCATCTGATGATTCCCTAACAGTTAAAAAAGTGAAAACCTGTCAAAAATCAGAATCAAACTGGGAAAATAAATAAATATAAAAATAAATAAATAAATAGTGCACAGTATTAATTTATAGTTTTCTGGTATGACAGCATCACTTGTGCTCATCATACTTCCAGATCAATGCAACATTTCTCATCTGATCTTCACTATATTTGTATTCATGATTGTTATTTCTGTTTGTAGCTTTCACACTGTTTAATACATAGTGCTAACTATTTCATATCATATAAATTAAAGAAAATAATTAAAATCATTTACAGCGTAAAAAGCACGCAGTTCTTAACATGTTGATTATTAATCACTCAGGTTTTAATTTTCCGGTGCTTATGAAAAGACAGCTCGTCTGCAACTTAATGGCATATATTAATAATTCAGCCTATTTTGGACACACAAATACTAATCTCGGATAGTTCGGACAGCATGCGAATTGTGACGTAGGCTTACAAACATCCTTTTTCGATTGTCCCGTGCGTGGCGGCATTTCATTGGCTCACACGTTGATGGCCAGGAGAACTCTCCAATTACATAAAGACACAATGTTACCGATGGGCTGACGCGGAAATCCGAATGTCTAGCTGGTGAGAAGGCGGCATGGAAATTTCTGAAAATGACAATCTACATATCTTTATAATAAACGTGTCATAATTTCAGACACTAGATGTTGATTCAGGGCATCTTAACTGGGTGAAGACAACCTAGAAAAACAGTGTTTTCTTATTGGACAACCTTTGAGCTAGACAAGAAAGCATGTTACACTCATATAGTATTTTTCGCTTGAGTTGTATTATTTTGTTTCTACCACTTGGATCTGTGTATACAAAGGACTTTAACGCATTATGCTCAACATGCAGACAATTAGTCGACAATTTTGACAAGGTATGTCTGTATGTTTCTATTTATCTTTCTATTAATCTATCGATCTATCTTGAAGAAAATAGCATCTTTAAAGCAATTCATTTTAATAAATAACGTTTGTTAGTTATAAAATGGTAAAACGATACATTTTCCGTTCAAAACTGGGCAAACATTGTCTGAATATTGTCATACCTTAGTACAACGTGTCCATATGTGACACATGCAAACTAGAGGGAAACTGATTTCATACATAAACTACATATCATATTGAAACCAGTTATTTATGCACAAATGGTTCAGAAAACTGTTAGTTTTTAGAAAGTCTCTAGCATCACTTGTTTACAAATGTTACGTTGATATCATTTTGCAAAGTACATTTAGACATGTATGTTTAAATGTGATGTACTGTAAATGTCTGAATACTTATTAGGGTCACTTTAGATATGTTGAGTGTTAATATATTAATTTTTGCCAGGGTCTGGAAAAAACAGCGAAGCAAAATTTTGGTGGTGGAAACACAGAATGGGAAGAGCGAAAACTCTCCAAATATGAATTGAGGTGAGAAGTAAGAAAATTTTATAAATTGACACAAAACATCTTAAAGCAATATTTACTTGCATGCACTAATGAAACAATGACATGCACTCTTGTAGTTCATTATCTTGACCCAGACTATTAGGATAGACTGGTTACAATTCACAAATGTGTGTTTTTGTTTTTAGTGAGATTAGGTTGACGGAAATACTGGAGGGCTTGTGTGACAGCAGCAGTTTTGAGTGCAACCACATGTTGGAAGAAAATGAGGAACACTTTGAGACGTGGTGGTTCAAGAGGTCAGGTACTCAAATGGAGAATTTGAACCATAATACCTGAAGACTTCATTCTCAAGGCTGAGGTATACTTCATTTTTCTGCGTGCCGTCATGTCTTGTGCACTGTTGAATAGGCAAGCCTTTCTGAGCATACTTCATTTGACCGTGCATGAGCTGTTTTTTACTGCATCTGTTGTGTCCCGTGTAAGTATACCACTCTGAAAGACAAAGCAGCAGCATCCATATACTAGGGTAGGGTGACCAGCTGTCCTGTATTTTATGTGACAATCCCAAAATTGGGAGATTTGTGCATAAGGACAGTCTGTGTGGACTCTGTTGATGACACAATTTACACCTTGCGCACTGTGCGATACAATACGGCACGCAGACAATGTATGTATACTTTGGGCTTCAGTCGCATTGTTGAAAGTATCTATTTAATCGGATTAATAAAAAGAAATCTAACTTTTTTGCATTTTTGTTGCAGGAAAACGAAACACCCTGATCTGTTCAAGTGGTTTTGTATAGAGACCATCAAAGTGTGCTGCCCAAAAGGCTTATTTGGTCCTGACTGCAACAGTAAGTGTACTAAGTGTTGAATTAACACGTTTTTAATAAGTATACAAATGCTTAGCCAAAGCATTGCAAGTCCACAGTCCTTTGTAGATATTTAACATGTGTTTTTGCGTTACTGTGACAGTAACAAACTACAGTGTTGAAGAGAGACAAAACAATTACTTTCAAACCTCTGTTCCATTAAACTTGATTCGCGTAGCTAGCTATAAGCTGCAGAGCCCTTAAAGGGGATGTGCTGATGGAAATCATTGAGATGAAGGAAACTATATTGCAGTGCTTTTGCACGCAAAATTGATTGGGGTAATGCAATACTTTTACTAGCAAAAACAAAAGTTTTTTTTTTTTTAAACAAATGCAAAGTTTCTTGGGGGAAAGCAAGCATTATGTGAGGGAACGCAAATGGATTGAAAAATAATTTTTCCTCTTTTGTTACATCACCATGTCCCCTTGTAATATGTTGACTAATTTCACATTGACTACCACAGATTTTCAAACCGATATGTAAATGAAGCTTACCACTGAAAATCAGCTTTAAAAAATTGGTTGATGGAACACCATCCTTATAATGTCTTCTGTTGCACCCCTTTATGGCAACGCTGAGAATCCAATGCATACGGTATATGCTTTGTACAAGGTGTTGTGATATGATTTTAGAACACGTGGATTTAAGTTCGTATAGCTAGAAGCATTTCCATTCATGTACGCACATTGTTGCAGACTTTAAGGACCCATTTTGAGATTATGAAAACTTGTAAAATTGTCTCTTGTTTTGCATTATTTCAAGCTTGCATTGGAGGAGCTGACAAACCATGCCATGGTAATGGCAAATGTGATGGAGATGGAACAAGGGCTGGAAATGGGAAGTGCAGTTGTGATGAGGGATATGAAGGGGAGTTTTGTCTGGACTGCAGTGATGGTTATTTTAGTGCACTGAGGAATGATACATTCTCCTTGTGCAAAGGTACACACCAAATAAGCTTGATGAGCATCATATGTTTCATAGTTATAATTAGGGGTGTGCAGTGGAGCCAATATCTGTATTTGTAGCAGTCTCAATTATTTGTATCTGTATTCTGATAAAACCAGAAATAGGTGGGACTTAACTGGAAGTTCATAAAATTACATTGGAAGTCTGTTTTAAATGTAATTTTGTCTCTTTTATTGTTTTCATTTGACAGACATGCCTTGTATTAAAGAAAATTGTTTTTTTTTTTGTTAAGCAAAGGAAAAGATCATTATTATTATTATTATTATTTTACATATTTATTTTTCCAGAAGAACTTTGTGTACAGAGTTATGTCTGGACAATCGTCCACAACCTCAAATAAGAGGACTTTTTATGAAATAGTAAATTAGAGAACAATATTCAGTGGCTGAAAACTACAAATAACTTTTACTATGCATAATACAAATCTGAACAAATAAAGAATACATAAATTATGGACCAGCTCTAAGAGAAATTGAGACAGAACGTATATCACATCGATTTTCAAGATTCAGTATCTTAGTTCATATTACTTAAGTTCTGATTTCTGAAAGACACAAAGACAGCAACACTGCTATTTGATTTGCAATTGTGCTGTTCCTTTTATTCAAAGAGTTTACACTCATTCACTTTACACACTTTCCGTAGTGATTTTAGAAGTTTATGTATAATATTGTAGTATCCCTGGCTCTCCCGTTATCCAGCAGGCACAACTCGTGACTGTGTATGACAAATATATATTTTTTAATTATTTGGTTGAATTCATTATTATTTTTTTATGCTATTGTCCGTGCCTTTCGAAATGAGGTATTCAGCTTTGAGTACACCCCCTAGTTATAATATTTGTAAAACTAAAAAATATATATTTATCCATATACGGTGGGGTCTAGAAGTCTAAGACACCTTGAAAATATAGATTTCAAAATCTGAAATTTGGAAAAAGGTTTAGAATTTTGAAAAATCAAAAAAAAAAAAGAGATTATATATCATTTTTTGGTTTTTTTTTTTTTTTTTTTTTTTTTTTTTTTGAGAGTGTCATGAGTCTTGTGTTGGCTGCACTGGAGGAACCAATCAGGATTGTAAAGAATGTAGGAATGGCTGGGAGAAAGACCAAGAAGGAGCATGCATTGGTAAGAAAAAATAATAATTTTAATGCCTGGAAAACGCATGGAAAAGCTTTAAAATTCATGGAGTCCTTTAATATTGTCAAGTCATTTACATAGGGAATGCATTTTAATAGTTCTGTTCTAAAATATTTAATGGTCTAGATATGGATGTTTATGTAAGGGATAGTTTGCAGTCATCCTTTCATTATTCTGACCAGTTTGTTTATGTTCGATACTCCTATACTATGTTTATCTAATAGGTATTGTGTTTTTCTTATTGGAGACATTTTTACAATAATTCATACACAATTATATTATAACACAATCTGTTAATTCAAAGTATTGTTTTCTGGCATACCAATGGAAAAGCACCTCTGAACTCTCTGGGTGAATGTGTAGGAATAGGAAAAGAAAAAGGAATAAATTATTTGCCTTTGTTCCAGCTGCAGGTTTCAGCCAGGAGCCAACTTTCACAGATTTTTTTTTGCCCCATTAATCTCCGAATATCTCCTGGTGGTGAGCCATTTTCTTTGCCACCTCTGCAACTCCCATCTTACCTCCCCATCCAGACATTCCTTCTTTACAAGTCTGATGCAGTACAATGACATAACCACTTTCAACCCTTATGTGTCAAACTCAGCTCCTGGACGGCCAATGTCCTGCAGAGTTTAGCTCCTGCAGTTTAACTCTGCAGGACAGCGGCCCTCCAGGAGCTGAGTTTGATACCACCGTTTTATAACTTTTTCTTATCGATGCCAGAAACTTACTTTATCTGCTTCTTCTTTTGTTTCCTTTAAAACGTATTCAAGGCTGATCCAGCTATCTCAATGTCTTTGAGTAGATTCTGTGTTGATATTCCCATGAATCCTTTCCACCCAACCTCCACAAGGGGGACTCCGTAAATGGTAGTCCTCCATCCACTTTCCCTGCACTTGACAGCAAGATCAGTGTATTTTAACTTCATCTCATGGCTGTTTTCATATACTTCAAGGATCTCTAGCATCTTATGCAGAACCTGATCATGTCTCCATCTATACTATTCCTGCGCCAAGGTAGTCTTGCAGCCAGCCAACATGTGCTGTGAATTTGACCTTGGAGCCTCGCAGGGGGGACAATTATCCTCTGTCCCGTACCACCAGAACTGGTGGTTAATTGGATTTCTTGGACTTAGTAGGTTGTAGCAGATGGATCTAACATCCTTGCTGTTGCTGGCTTACTGCTCTAATCAGATCTTCTTCTTCTGTCCTACTTCTATCACCACCATTGCTTTCCTCTGCCTCCTAGAGGTTGCTGACCACTATTTAGGGGCTATTTCTAGTCCAAGACATGCGGTTCCTGCCTGGGTTCTTCTAAAAATCTGTTGGTGCTTCAATCACAAAGCTTTGGCCTTTGTTGGCCTTGCACCTGCATTAACCTGACACATCTTTTGCAGCCACATCAGGCGATGATACAGTCTAAATTAGTAACACCATATTTTGAATATTCGATGACAAAAATTTTTATCCAAGAGTGTATTCCAGAAAGCAGGGTTTGCCTACCATCACGTATATCTAAAACTCTCCGCTGATTAACCCAAAACATGCTTGCTCAAGGCATGCCAGTTCCAAAACTGCAACTGAAAGTAAGTTGGCAACCCAAAGTCTTAACTAACTTAAGTTTTGTTTTTTTTTCTTTTTGCAAGATCATACAGACCCCAAACTTTTGAACAGCAGTGTGTATTTTACAATTTACAAATTATATATATAATTTGTGAATATTATATGTAAAAAAGCCACTTAGATTGTCCATCTCATTGAATAACCGTCTTCGTGCTTTGCTCAGATGTGGTGTGGTTGTTTAGGCCTGTGCTTTTTGAGGAGTGTGTGTGTGATTGCTATTCAAGGTTAGTATGTGAACTTTTGAACGTCTGGGGCCTCTGGGTTTTCTGTGATATCTGACAAGCTCTCTTTACTCTGAGGAGAACACACAGCTGAACAGGACGTGTGTGTGTGTGTGTGTGTATGTGTGTGTATGTTTTTACGATATATATGATTTGTGTTGTGAGCTTTAGTGACAATTCAAGTACTTTGTACATTAACTTACTAGCTTTATACATTTTTGCTTATTTTGATATGTATTTCTAAGGCCCATACATTTGTCTTTACCTGTATTGGTCCTGTGTTTTTCCATTACAGACATCAATGAATGCACCAAAGATCCAGCTCCATGCAAAGATAACCAATACTGCCTAAACACGGAAGGATCTTTCTCCTGTAAAGGTCTGTTTAAATACAGTGTTAAGGTTAATTTTATTTTGGCAACCCATATGATATGATCAACATCTTATTTCATGATATGAGAAATTTTATTTCACAACAACAATGCATTTCGATATAGCCATTATTTTATTTTTGTTTTTAAAAATATTACATACTGCTCTTGACTGAATCAGTTTTGAATCTTTGAATGAATCAAATATGAACTGATTCTTTCTAGTGAAGACTATGCAGTGTTTTGGTTAAACACATGCTGTCTGAGAGAGGCACCTTCGGGTGTATGATGGTGCGCTAGCACCGCATTGAGTTCTTTTTCACTCCCTATTGCATTTAAAAATTATTAAACATCTTGCACATCCCGAATTCGCAATTGCATGCTGTCTCAGACAGCAAAATCTCTAAAGATGGATACTTTATACAGCCATTACGGTATATACGGTCATACACAAATAAGTACTGAGTAATATTAATTTCCAACATTTGCTTACTGTAGGTTTAGGGTTATGGTTAGTAACTGTCAATTATGCATCAATAAAATGTTATTTTTATTTTATATCCCAGAATGTGATATCAGATGCTCTGGTTGCAAAGGACCTGGTGCAAGTAACTGCCTCACCTGTGCTGATGGCTTTAAGGATGAAGAAAGCACCTGCACAGGTATCACTTTTCTTTAGGGAAGAGATTGAATGGCAATGACTAGAGTTTTTGCTTGTAGATATGTGAGCAACTGAGGCAGTGTATATACCAGGAACACTGGGATTGTGTGGATGAAGGAAGCCATATGTGATGGTGTACTGCTGGTTTTAGAGCACATTCATAGTAAATTATCACTTTTGTTGTAAATAGAGCCTTACACTGTTTTTACACGGCTGATCCAGAAATGAAAATTCGGTAACACTTTAGATATAATAAATAAATAACCGTTAAATAAACATTGCTATATTTTGTAGTAGTATACACACAAACACTTACTGTATATCTTAATCATAATACACTATTATAAAATATAGCAATGCTTATTTTACTGTTATTTATTTTATTCCTAACTCGCACAGTGGATCCACATTTAAAAGGTTTTTTTTTTCTTGCAACAGGACGTGCGTGCGTGTATAAGATATGTGTATAAGATTTTTGCATTTTTGAACTTGAGTGACAATTCGAGTACTTTATAAATTAACTATGTAACTTTATACATTTTTGCCTATTTTGATATGTATTTCTAAGGCCCATACATTTGTCTTTACCTATATTGGTCCTGTGTTTTTCCATTACAGACATCAATGAATGCACCGAAGATCCAGCTCTGTGCAAAGATAACCAATACTGCCTAAATACAGATGGTTCTTTCTCCTGTAAAGGTTTGTTTAAATACAGTGTTAACAAAAACATTTGTTTTATTTTGTTAACCCTTTATTTAAGGTGTTGTAACAGTGTAATTCCACAAATAAATAATGAGTAATATTAATTTCCAACATGTGCTTAGTGTAGGTTTAGGGTTAGCTTAGGGTTAGTAACTGTAAATGATGCATAATTACATGTCAAACAAGGACACTTTAAAATAAAATGTTACCGTTATTTTATATCCCAGAATGCGATACCAGATGCTCTGGTTGCAACGGACCTGGTGCCAATAACTGCCTCACCTGTGCTGATGGCTATAAGGATGATGAAGGCACCTGCACAGGTATCACTTTTCAACAGGGAATAGCTTGAATGGCAATGACTGGAGTTTTTGGCCTTTCGTGTGCTTGTGGATATGTGAGCAACGAGACAGTGTATACACCAGGAAGACCAAGAGTGTGTTAAGACTGAAGGAATTTTTATGTGATGGTGTACTACTGGTTTTAGAGCACATTCATAGTAAATGAAAATACACTGTATTTACACAGCTCATCCAGAAAAAAAATTCAGTAACACTTTAGAATAGGGAACACTATTCACTAGTAACTAGTTGCTTTTTAGCAACTGGTTACTAGCATACTGGCTGTTTATTAGTATTTATAAACAGGGGAGTTCCCCTGCTTATAAAGCACACATTATTCTGCCTTTATCTGCATGACCATATTCTAGATCCCTTAACCCTACCTACCTTAACATAACTACCACAAACTAATACCTTATTTACTATCAGAGGCGGGCAGTAGTGAAGTATTTTTATTCTGCTGTAAAAGTACTTTTCAAGTGTCTGTAAGTTATAAGTTTTTATTTAGAAAACTTTTACTTCAGAACATTCCCAAGCATAATATTGTACTTTTTTTACTGCACTACGTTTTATATTAAATGTAATTACATTAGAAATCTAGTACTAGTACCAGATGCCTGAACCACCTCGACTAGCTCCTTTCAACTTGGAGAAGCAGCAGCTCTACTCCGAGTCTCTCCCGGATGTCCAAGCTTTATACCCTTTCTCTCGGGGTCATCCCAGACACCCTATGGAGAAAACTAATTTCAGCTGCTGGTACCCATAATCTTGTTCTTTCTGTCATTACCCAGAGCTCATGATCATGGGTGAGGTTTGGAATGTTGATTGACTGGTAAATTAAGAGCTTCACCTTCAGGCTTAGCTCTCTCTTCACCATAAGCGGCCGCATTACTGCTGCCACTGCATCAATCCTCCTGTCAATGTCATGCTCCAATCTACCTTCACTCGTGAACAAGACCCCAGTATACTTGAACTCCTTTACTTGGGGAAGCAACTCACTCCCTACCCGAAGTGGCCAATCCACCCTTTTCCTGTGCAGAACCATGGCATCAGATTTAGAGGTGCTCATTTCCACTAGTTCACACTCAACCGCAAACTGCCCAAGTAAATGCTGAAGGCTCAATGAAGCCATCAGGATGACATCATCCACAAAAATCCACATTGTTATTCCTCCAGCTGAGGTTTAACAATCAGCCAGAATCTCATTTTTCAGCACTCATAGGCTATGTCATAGGCTGACATAGGCTTTCCCTGGCAGACTGAGAAGTGGGACCCCTCTATAATTGGAGCTAGAGGTCGACCGATAGTGGATTTTTACCAATAGGTATAATTAAGTTGGATCACACTGGCCGATAACTGATTAATCAACTGATAATTAATTTCCAAGACAGTGGCATCGAGTCGGGGATTGGTCAATATTCCCACCCCCGTTTCATCACCCTGAGTGACACCAGAGAAGGAGAGAGAGTCCAACCCCTTTCCAGGAATTTGGTTCCAGAGCTGTGCATAGAAGTTTGTTAGGCCAATTATATCTAGCTGGTAGCCTAACCTCCCACACTAACATCAGCTCCTTTCCCAAAAGCTAGTTTCTGCAGCCAAAAGCTAGTCCTCCCTGCCCGCACCAATCTAACCAATGAGATGGACCCATGTTATTTTTCGTAACTGCCCACCAGGCGCTCACCTGCGAGCTCCTCTCCCAGGTTGGGGCAGGGTCTCATTGTTCTTTTTAATCAAATCTGAAAGTGAATATGTGTTCCATAATCTGAATTGTTACAGAAAATTCTGTAATCATTTACTTAGCCTTATGTTGTTCCAAACCCATCTAGTTTTGTTCTGCAGAACACAAATTATAATAATTTAAAGTGCCCCATTATACCCCAATATTACCTTTCATGTAGTGTGTTATATAACTGTTTGTGAATGCAAAAGGTCTTTCAGAGTTTCAAAGATCAATGCTTATTTATTAAAGATGGGGCAGTACCCACTTTATTTGGACTAGGGCTGCACGATAAATCGCAATCCGATATTTAACGCGCATCTTGTCAGAAAGCCGGTTCTGTAATCCAGTGAACAACGGCTCTGTGTAGTTAATGCTGCTCAATGTGAAAGCCCGCAGGTGATGGAGATTTACCGCTGATTACAGAACCGGCTTTTCTGACAAGATGCGCGTTAAATATCGCATGCGATTTATCGTGCAGCCCTAATTTGGACCATCTTGGTCTTATGCTTCAAAACTTCTAAGTATGATTAATTATTTATGTATGCTATATATATATATTATACTCGAGATTGTTCAAAATGCGTAGTTTTGTTGTATACGGTATACACCCAGTCCACAGCTGTAGCCCTCTGTGTGGAGTGTGGAGCAAGATTTGTTTTGAAAACTTTAATGCAAGTAATTCATGATAGTGCTTGGTTAACATATGTACTGTTATTGTTTTGGTAAGCATTTACTATTCCGCTGTTATTACTGTTCGTTGAGTCAAGTTGCTTAGGAAGGTTCAGGTGCCGAAATTCAGATATAGTGTAGTTTTGTTTTCCAGTGGTAGACCAATCACAACAGACCCAGCCATCTGACCAATCAGAGCAGAGAAGGCACTCGGAAAAGAGACTGTATCTTTGAACCAATTGTTTTAGACACTGTGAGAAAAGAAGTGATGCTATAGTGTATGTTATAAGGGGAAGCAGTTTCATTATTGCAGTGATTAATGTTACTGGCATGCTATATGTTGGCAACAATTCTTTGAACCCTAATTGATGCATTTCTTAAACATTTTGGAAGATGTGCCCATGCTCATATTCAGGGATGACAAGTGATCCAGAGAGCGTGAGAAATAATTTTTACATATGAAGAGTACAATACACACAAGGAATCTTGGCCAAAAAAGAATGCAACTCTTAATGGAAATAAATGCTGTGATGTTGCATAAGGTTGCTGGTACAATGCCATGACAAATTCACACTGTGATCAAAGCTAAAGCTAGTCTAATGAAATATTTGTGTGCATCAGGCAGTGTATTATACAACAAGACAAGTCAAGTGACCTTTATTTATATAGCACTTTGTAAAGCTGCTTTGACACAATCTGTATTGTACAGTGTCAAACAGGAAAATAGTTTGTCAATAATGCAAGAGGACAATAACAGTCATTTTTCCTTTGAAGTCAATTAATTGATGATTCAGTGATGTCATCTTCCAGTTCAGCTCTCTTCCAATAGTGTCTGTGCAATTAGTCAATTGTCCCCAACTAAGCAAGCCAAAGGCGACAGTGGCAAGGAACCAAAACTCCATCAGTGACAGAAATGGAGGAAAAAAAAACCTTGAGAGAACCCAGGCTCAGTCAGGGGACCAGTTCTCCTCTGGCCAGATGAAACCAGCATGGCATGGTTTAATTCCAGGCTGCAACACAGGTCAGATTATGCAGAGGTCTGGTGCCCATGGTCTTGTGCCGATGGTCATCTAGTTAATGCGGTCTTCGCTGGGGATCTGTCTCTGGGGCTCGTCTAGTTGACATGCTCTCCACTGACATTCAGGGCTGTAGAGGTCTTTCACTGCTCACAAACAGCCCCTTGTAGGGAAAAAAAAAAAGATAATCAAAATGTAATGTGAAAAAAACTGGTTAAAACAAACTCAGCTCCTCAAATTCGCACACTTGCAACAATGGGAAAATGGTGGATGACATATAGGATGTTTTTTTTCCCCAGTTGGTATGGTCAGGACAAAATCTTAATACAACCCCAATTCCAGAAAAGTTGAGCGGTTTTGTGAAATGCCATAAAATCAACAAAATGTTAGTTGCTCATTCTCTTTAACCTTCATTTAATTGACTAAAGTGCAAAGAAAAAATTCTAATGTTTTCACTGGCAATTTTATTTTATTTTGTAAATATAAACCAATTTTGATTTTGATGGCTGCAACACACTCCAAAAAAGTTGGGACAGAGACATGTTTAACACTGCGTCACAACAACTTTCCTTTTAATTACAGTGTTTAATTGTTTGGGAATTGAGGATACAAATTTTTTAATAGGAGACAGATGTGGACTGCAGGCAGGCCAATCTATCGCATTCACTCTGTGTCTACGAAACCACGCTGTTTTAGCATATGCAGAATGAGACCAGGGGTCCATTATTTGTACGTCGCTAACTCAGTTAGCTGGATTTGATTGATGTTTAATTGTTGATATACTAGCTGTATGCTATGCTATACTATGCTATACTACTTCTGTGTAATGCAAAAATACATAATTTAGATGAAGATATGGCAGAAATAACAACAGTAGTATGCTGTTCTGAATTCAACCAGAAGTTTAATTTTGGTTAACTATTCCTTGAACATTGGGTTCAGGGGCGTAGATTACGCAGGGGATGTGTCCCCCCCCACTTTTAATATCACGTAAATTCGTCCCCCGCACTTTTTCGGGCAAGTGTGTTCGCATAGAGGTTTTCAAGAGCCGGTGTGAATAAATATAGATTTAAATTCAAAGAGACAGGATAGTCTGTGCATGATCTGATGTTTTATTCGGACCCAGAATAAGGCGAGATGAACATCGCGGAGCGCTAAACACTCAGTGTATGTTTCATTCATACTCGAAGCCAGAGGGCGCTCTCGCGCAGAAAGTCAGAAGCAGAAAGAGGAAATCCCTAATATGGACAAAAGC